GTCCTGACCGCGTAGCTCAGTTGGAAGAGCATTGGGCTAGTATCCAAAGGTCGTAGGTTCGAATCCCGCCGTGGCCGGGCATATTTTTCAAGCTCGCCCGGTGTGGATATACACTCAGAGTAACACCACAAATATCATTTAGCAAATTATTCGCTCGGTTTGTTTACATATTTCGTTGCTAAAAAGTATATTTTTTCTTTTTTGTTTCTCAAATTCATCAGTATAATCATCAGATTGGCCCAACCTGGCAAAACCTTGATAGAAAATTAAAGCTAGATTGTTGATCCAGACACGGAAAGTGTTACACACGATTGATAAAAGCTATACTTGTCATGTATGTTCACTTCAACTATATATCGATAAAATAATAGACTTAGTCTTAGTTATGTCTAAGTTCACTCATGACTTATGTACCTCTTTGCACGATCACTGAGCCTGTGTATACAGCTTGAATCTGCTTGATTGGGCCATTCTGATGATTAGACTGATGAATTCGAGAAACAAAAAAAAAATATACTTTTTAGCAAAGAAATATGTAAACAGACCCAGCGAACAATTTGCCAAATGTTGACAGTAAAATAAACGTACAATCTAATATAAAAACAAATAAAATTTAAACTCTAACGAATATGAAAACTCATTTGGCCTATATATAGAAAAATTTACTTCAAACTTACCATAATACTGGCTTCTTTTGGCTTTTAAAAAACTCAAAACAAGTAAACAACTCTGAGCTTTCGGGATTTTCTCCGCAAACTACGTCACAATCCTGCTGACGTCAACCTTTTTATAAAGGTCTATTATCTTTGAAATCGCCAACGACCTGGTTGGATTCCGTACTTGCATGAGTTGCAACTCATATATATATATATATATATATATATATATATATATATATATATATATATATATATATATATATATATATATATATATATATATATATATATGTATGTATATGTATGTATGTATATATGTATGTATATATAGAATGTTATTCAGAACATAAACAATGTGTAAATGGCTGCGTTTTAACTCCAAAAAAGCAAGCAACGCAGTCAGTAATTACCAAATTTGCAAGTGCTCATTTTCAACTAAAATCGTAACAGAAAACCAGTCTCAAGCTTCAAGTCGTGAGGGAAGTCGTGCGACCACATTAGCATTCGCTGTCGCCATTGTTATAAATAAATTGTCTCACTTATCAGATCGTGTGTGCAATTCTTGTTGGCGGCGGAAAGTACGAAATTTATTTCAGTTATTTCATTTGGTAAAGAACTCTACAAAAGAAGAGAGCGTTCAGAGTCCAGATCGTTTCGTTTCAAACGGCAATTTAATACCGTCTTCTGTTTCGCTCTCTCAGCGAAACCTTGTAAATCGCAAAGTGTTTCGAATAGGCTTACATGCAACTGCATCTCAACATCAACCAAAAGATAATTTTCTTGAGAAACATATAACGTATCAAGTCTGAAATTAATGAAACTCGAGTAAAGGTTACTATAGTTTACCCCAGTCGTAATGTTGCTATTCCAACACCTCACGACAAGCAATCCCATTGGCATAACGGCAAAAACATCTCTTCCTTCAAGTAAACAATAAACAATCTGTTCTTGTTCCATTTATAATCGAAAAAAGTGATCAATTTTCGAATGTTGAGCTTATCGAGAGCCTTTGTGATGAATCACTGACCTAATTATAGAATCCAACAGCAAACAGCCAATCAGAATGCCGCGTTCGTGGGCGAACGTGGAAAGTACAAAACACCGGGCCTTGGTTGCAGGCTCACTATCAGTTCCCTTGGGCCTGCACGCGGGCTAGTCTAAATCATATGCTGGGCTTTAATCTCTGGGCTTTAATATTATTTTAAAATCGTTTTAATTAATTTCAGGGTAAGTTTTGTAATGGCCGAATCAAGTGAAGTTGGACAAGCGGTGCAGGATGCTGTAAAGGGTGCCCTGAGTGGTAGTTTAAAATGGAAAATATCGCCATTTGGTGGTGACATTTCTTTCATCATTACCACTGACAATATAGATGTGGCAGAAAGATTATTGAAAATTGGTGGGATGATATTCCTAGGCGTTGGAGCGCTCACACTTGGTTCTTTCTTTTGCTACAATGCTTACAAACACCTAATTACTGACGCCACTAAAAAAGCTGTTGGTGGAGACACAGATGACCAAGAATTTGGAGGGACCAAACCAGGATCACTACATGTTCTACTGCATTGTCTTACGGATAAGAGGTTTCTTGAAGTTTTAGCAGATTATGAATCTGGTAGAATAACAGAACGTATGGAGATAGAATTTTCGCAGATTGGAATTAAAACAGAAGGATTGAAGGTTGAGATTGAAAATATGGAGGAAGTAAATGAAATAAAGGCGGCTATAAACAAGAGGTATTTAATTAATTAATGGGTGAATAAATTAAATAGCCATTGCCTTTACTAATTACCTCCGCCAGGAGGTTATGTAATCATCTGGGTTTGTTACCTCCGCCAGGAGGTTATGTAATCATTTGGGTTTGTATATGTGTGTGTGTGTGTGTGTGTGTGTGTGTGTGTGTTTGTCTGTGAGCACGAAAACTCAAGAAATACCAAACATATCCGTACGAATTTTTTTGAATGCATTTCCCATCGGCTAAGGAAGAACTGATTAAAATTTGGTTGAATTTGGTTAAAAATTGAACGAGAAATGAACAAAATTTTGTCTTGCTTTTCCCGGTCAATTAAAAAAAACTCACTGAATGCGTAATTAGGACGCAGTACTAAGACAATAATGAGATGATAAACCTCATTAAGCTTCAGCCTTCATTATCTATTGTCTTAGTTGCATTTCACACGACCGAAATTCAATATGGGCGGAGGTATGCAGTCTCTGAGTGCCCTCTAGTTCAAACTGTGATGGTCTGTTTAGATTCAACATCACTTCGGCGGAATTCATGTTTGGCGGCAGGAATATCGGCAGCATTGTTTACCATTGAATGTCGAGCAGTGTACTGGATCCAAATGTACTGATTTTCGTCCAAAGCTTCGCCAAGACTCCGCTGAGAATTGCAGCTCAGCCAATTTGGAGTTTCTACTGCGCATCCAAATGACGCGTTCTGCGTCGGGATAAATTGCAGTTGAACCATGACATGTAGCTGAGACTGGAAGAATCAATAGAACATGCTATCAAATATTCTGTTCAATCATCTTTCACTTAGTCTTGTAGCCACGGTAGAACTGTCCATTAAATAATTTTTGTACCAGCATATTTTGTCTTCTGTGTAAAGCATAAGTGAAAGGGAATATATATTCTAATTTAAATAGTGATTGATATGCACATTTTAATTCTTCCTGCTTCATGTTATTGTTCAACTACAATTTATCCCGGCGCAGAACGCGTCATGTGGATGCGCAGTCGAAACTCCGAATTGGCATATTCCAGAATTTCATTAATTTCCAATCTCCTGCTAAGCCTCGCCGTGCTGGTGCACAACTAGCCTGCTCACGGACGTTGTTATTCTTACGCCAAGCGACGAATTACTACCGTCTGCTTACCCGGGCTGCATATTCAATTCCCTTTGTTTTAGGAGCCAATCATCTGGCAGTGTTCAAAAGAGTTAGAGCCAATTGGAAGCCGCCTTATTGAGAGATTAGCTACTGGGGAAAGCCCTTGCACATGCATTGGAATATATTGTTTGCGTTGAACTGAAATCTGTTTACTTGCTTGGATATATTTTGGAAACTATAGCGTTGAACTTCACGATGTTTACGTAGAATAATATTGTGATCATCTTCTCGCATGTTCAGCAAACAATTGGTGTATATAAAGTGCTAAAGCAATGCAGTAGGTAGCCCGCGTGCAGGCCCAAGGGAGCAGGCTCAAGGGAACTTGATAGTGGGCCTGCAAGCAAGGCCCGGTATTTTGTAAAACGCCCCTTTTCAATTGTCAAAAAAGAACCAATGACAGCACCCAAATATTAACAAACAAACTCGCATTAAAATGTTGCGGGGTTTTCTCTGCATATTCAGAACATAAACAATGTGTAAATGGCTGCGTTTTAACTCCAAAAAAGCAAGCAACGCAGTCAGTAATTGCCAAATTTGCAAGTGTCATTTTCAACTAAAATCGGAACAGGCAAATTAGGACGAATTTCAACAGAAAACCAGTCTCAAACTTCAAATCGTGAGGGAAGTCGTGCGACCACATTAGCATTTATAATGTTGTTTCGCTGTCGCCGTTCATGGCATTGTTATAAATAAATTGTCTCACTTATCAGATCGTGTGTGCAATTCTTGTTGGCGGCGGAAAGTACGAAATTTATTTCAGTTATTTCATTTGGTAAAGAACTCTACAAAAGAAGAGAGCGTTCAGAGTCCAGACCGTTTCGTTTCAAACGGCAATTTAAATATACCGTCTTCTGTTTCGTTCTCTTAGCGAAGCCTTGTAAATCGCAAAGTGTTTCGAATAGGCTTACAGTCCTTACATGCAACTGCATCTCAACATCAACCAAAAGATAATTTTCTTGAGGAACATATAACGTATCAAGTCTGCTTGAAATTAATGAAACTCAAGTAAAGGTTACTATAGTTTACCCCAGTCGTAATGTTGCTATTCCAACAACTCACGACAAGCAATCCCCATTGGCATAACGGCAAAAACATCTCTTCCTTCTAGTAAACAATAAACAGTCTGCTCTTGTTCCATTTATAATCGAAAAAAGTGATCAATTTTCGAATTTTGAGCTTATCGAGAGCCTTTGTGATGAATTACTGACCTAATTATAGAATCCAACCGCAAACAGCCAATCAGAATGCCGCGTTCGTGGGCGAACGCGGAAGGTACAAAATACCGGGCCTTGCTTGCAGGCCTACTATCAAGTTCCCTTGAACCTGCTCCCTTGGGCCTGCACGCGGGTTATGCAGTAGGCGAAATTTAAATTTTTGTTAACAATGTCAAAGGCAAACAATCAATCGGGAAACTCGAGTATATCAGGATATGTCCAAATGTTGCTCTTGATACTTCCTATATGCCATGACTTCGACGAAAACTTCTAAAAGATTAAGCTCTCATTGTCATGTAGAAAAGTATAGCCAAGTTAGAGTATAAACGTTTCAAATTTTGGACGAATTGGAAAATTCATCACGGCGCAATTTTAATACAAGTTTCTCGTTTTGTGTTGTGTTTACAGTTTACATTCAGAAGTGATTGCTCAAACAGCAAATTAGTTTACTCTGAAGATAATATTTCGCTTTCTAAGCCACTGACAGTATTATATAAAATTTTCTGTCTTCCGAGTTCTGTTGTCTTATAAAGATAAACATCCGTCAAAAGTACAAATTTCAGCGAAATATATTCGGCATTTGATGCTGTCTCGCCTGTCTTGCTTCATACAGTATATTAAATATGCCAATCCTGTCCGCGTTTTAAATATAACCGAACATCTTTAATATCCAAATCTGATCATTAATGGTGCATTTTATTACCTGCATGACAAGTATCAGTATCTTTAAATTCAATTTATGTGCAATTTTGACCAAAATTCAACCGACGACTGCTTTCAAAATATATATTTATATTTTTTCCGCTCCTAAATCAACTGACGTCACTTTCCAGAATTTGGAAGGTAAATTCTGATTGGTCGACGTAGCGGAATTCAGTTTGACGCTCGGGTAAGCAGACGGTAGTAATTCGTCGCTTGGCGTAAGAATAACAACGTCTGTGAGCAGGCTAGTGCACAACAGACAACAACTTGGACCTGAACTCCATTCAAAATTTGTTCTTTTTCTCAGGAACAAGATAGCCAAGGCGTATAACAGAAGACGATGCAGATGGAAGTGTCCTAGCTCATAGCTACTATGAACCTCAACTACCAAGAAATATGTAAAAATTAAGGGAACTCAAATTTATTCAGGGTTAATTAAGTGTTTAGAACTTTAAATTGTATTGTGGCTGGGTTGTACGACGGCCGGATAGAGTTATCCACCGGACAGTGACTCGGGTAAAATCCAATCTCAACTTTAGTATATAAATATTCCAGTTGTTGGGAACCATGTTCCTATTTTTATTACTTTCCAAGCATTTTTACAACGGTTGAAAAATTGCAATCCGGCCTTCGTACAACCGATCATTGGTGTATACAAACTATTATAACGGCCTTTATATTCCAATCAGTAGTAGAAAAGAGTTTAAAGATCAAAAGTACTGTCATGTTCGTGTTTTTATGATGAAATCTTGAGAAAAGGTAACTCATGGTTCCTTCAAGATTTTTGATGGTCTAATTAAACACAGACAGGTCGTATCTGAAGATCATAGAATATGTATATGTGGAGAAATGTTTCTTTCAGACAAGTTAATGATGAACTTTTGGTAAATTTTATGCCTAAAGTTTTGATATCGTCCTTTAATGTAAGATAATGTTCGAAATATAATTGGAATAATTCAGTATGGCAATAAAATTAAATATTACTCCAGCAAGTCTACACTTTGTAGTATGTACCGTGTATGTATTTCCATTAGCGAGGTTTTGCTGCATGGAACTATACTTGAACAGACTAAACATTTGAAAATATCCCAGTGACTGGATTTCCTGGACCGTAAACGGAAGCATAGAAACACTACAAATTCTGTAAATTGTGACTGCTCTATTAGGGAAAGTATATTAGAACTGTAAAACGAATCCTATGGTTGCGGACCTGGCACACTGTCTTTATAAGACAAACAAATCCAAGCCCAAACCACCTGAAGTTATTCGTCAATCTTGTTTTTAAAAACTTTACCGCAAGATAGATTTTAGATTTACTGATTCGAGCGCTGAACGCAAACCTCTTTGGGTAGGGGGTGTGGGTGACATTTTTATTTTCTAAGGTTCATGCAGAGACGCTATTTCTTGTACTGATTCTGACTAATTAGTTTTAGCAAAAAATTAATCTCATCAATAGGTACGCAATGACTACAGTGTTTTATAATCTCACAATTGTACTCCAATACTAAGAATTACAAATATTCCCGCAAAAAGACTTAGGAGTTCTCTAAAAACTGATTTTGCGAAAAATTCGCGAAGTGTAAGGGCTTCTAGACACGAGTAAAATGAACTGAAAAAAGGGACTCAAATAAGGAAACTGGTCCACATGCGTTGTCGCGTTTATTTTTGTAGATGTTTATACTTTAGATGCGTTTACTGTATGGCTGCCATACACACGTCCCCAAAAGCGTTTACAAGGAGTAAAACGTTTCAATCTACTATTATTTGTTTCAAATTGTAATACTCTATATTGTGTTTATAGAGAAGCGGTTTTAAAGGCTTACGTCTTTTGCTCACGGTTTCGTCGAGGGTTTCGTTTCTCATTGTTGTATATCACTACGATTGACTTATGATATTTTATTACTGGGGGAAATACTTTTTTCGGTCGCAAGAAAGGAGACATGTCATCGGAAACGTATCGAGTCCCCAAAATAAACCGACCATTTATAATTTACTCTTACAGTTTACAGTATTCAAACATTCATTCCACATTTAATATTCAGTTGTATATGCGACACCAGTAGTCTCGATTATGTCTTAATATGCAAGGTGTTAATGATTTTTGCATAGGTATACAGGTTACATCATTTCAACAACTTCAGCATTCCTTGGTTTTTAGTACTAGCTAGTTACAATGATGCTATGGTAATGCAGTACTACAGAACTATGGTACTCAGGGCCGTTACTAAGTTTAGATTTACCTGAATATTTCCAACTTAATGTTTTTACCTGATTTTGCGACGCCTGCGAGGTGGCCAGGGGGGGGGGCATGACCAAAATTTAAAAAAAATCCAAAATTTTCTCAATTTTCCTAGTCACATACGCGCATTGAATTGTAAGTAATAATACTTATCTTCATTGTTAGACAATACTAAAATATTGAAATATTGGGTAGGAAGACTCAAAAAATGCCATTTCCAACAGTCTAGAGATTTCAAATTTTCAAAATGTTTTGCTCCGCACCAACCATGGTGCCACGACGGGGGTAGGTATTTTTCGATTTAAGCCCTTCGAGTAAGCCCTTAGCTTTTCGTGAGTTAAGCCCCTGCCATGCCCTTTTCCGTCTGGGGCTTAACTCGATCAACATATGGTTGTTTTAGTACTTCGAGTTAAGCCCCGGGGCTTTATTAACTCGAAGTCAATAATTAACGATTTAAGTAGAGTTAAGCGTAGCCGGCGTGCAGGCCGAAGGGAACTGATAGTGGGCCTGCAACCATCACCCCATGTTTTCGATTTTCGCCGGCCGAACCGCCGGCTAAATTCCCATTGGCTAGCCGAGGCGATCGGTAATTAATTAACCTAGCCCGCGTGCAGGCCCAAGGGAACAGTGATTCATCACAAAGGCATAGACAAAGGCTCTCGATAAGCTTAAAATTTGAAAATTGATCACTTTTTTCGATTACAAATGGAACAAGAACAGACTGTTTATTGTTTACTTGAAGAAAGACATGTTTTTGCCGTTATGCCAATGGGGATTGCTTGTCGTGAGGTGTTGGAATAGCAAATTACGACTGGGGTAAACTATATATAGTAACCTTTACTTGAGTTTCATTAATTTCAAACAGACTTCAGTTGATACGTTATGTGTTCTCACTTCCTGAAGAAAATTATCTTTTGGTTGATGTTGAGATGCAGACTGTAAGCCTATTCGAAACACTTTGCGATTTACAAGGCTTCGCTGAGAGAGCGAAACAGAAGGCGGTATTAAATTGCCGTTTGGAACGAAACGATCTGGACTCGGAACGCTCTCTTCTTTTGTAGAGTTCTTTACCAAATGAAATAAATTTCGTACTTTCCGCCGCCGCCAACAAGAATTGCACACACGATCTGATAAGTGAGACAATTTATTTATAACAATGCCAATGGCGACAGCGAAGCACACATAATATAAATCCTAATGTGGTCGCACGACTTTCCTCATGATTTGAAGTTTGAGCAGGCCCGTAGCTGGGGGGGGGGGCAATGCCCCCTCACTCGGTGTGGCAGTGCCCCCCAGTGCCCCCCCCCCCACTCGGAAATCGGGCATGAAAAATAGAGATAAAGGGCATGGGAACCAATTGTAATAATGGAAAAAATTCTGTAAATTTTGTGGGAAATTTAGTAATTTTATAAAAATTTAGTTAGGTTTCGGAAAAAATTGAGTATGTCCGGAAAAGTTGGTATGTGCGGAAAAAATTTTTGACCCCTAAAATGGTACACTGACCGAAATTTTTTTGGCGACGGGGGGGGGAGGTCGCCAAAATAAATTCCGGAGAAAAATTTTTTCGTCGGTAACATTTTTTCTGCAGTGAGTGCCCCCCCAGAAATTGAGACCCAGCTACGGGCTTGTTATAAACATTCGGCATAACCATTCAACTTGGATGGTTATGCCGTTGACTGTTTTCGGCATAACCTTTCAACTTGGGTGGTTATGCCGTTGACTGTCTTAGTCATAACCATTCTACTTGAATGGTTATGCCTTTGACTGTCGTCGGCATAACCATTCAACTTGGATCAGTTATGCGGGGTGGTGATGCCGTTGACTGTCTTCGGCATAAGCATTCAACCGGGGTGTTTATGCCGTTGACTGTCTTCGGCATAAAATCATTGAAGTCTGCCTAACAAATCAAATCATTGAAGTTAGGGTTAGGGAAATCTAAACCTAAAAAAACCCGCGCACCCAATTACCTATATATACATGCAGGGGGCTCCTGCCCTCCCCCCTTCCCCCCCCCCCGTCCGTTATAAAGATGGCGGCCAATTTTTACTTCGTTCCAAGATCTGTGAATCATAAACCGTCTAAAACTAAAAAAACATCCAAAGGAAAGCTACGAAATGTTCAGAGTGCATCAACTGATGTTCGAGGATCTACTTCATCTATCTTAGAGGGTAGTTGCAATAAAAGTTTCGCTGAAAGCGTTGAAGAAACGTCGGTAGATAGCTCTTTAAATGTTATATCTAGTCCGGAAAATGCAGGTGAATCTGATGAGGATAGATCAGATATTGTTTATTTCTGTAAGAATCAGCGATGGCCCGAGGAAGGCGAACCTGTTTGTGTTGTATGTGGTCGTTATGGAGAGTTTATATGCGATCAAACTGAAGCAGATGTCTGCAGCAAAGAATGCAAGGCCAAAAATCTCCAGCTAAGGCAAGCTGGTGAAAAACAAGTACAGGAAGAATCGAAAACACTTGGTTCTGCAGATGAGAGGTCAGCAGGGCCAAGCTACTGTAAAACAATTACAGAAAATGACAGAAAACCAACTCTTGAAATCCTTGAATGCAAATCATTTGCACCACAAGAAAATGAGACATTTGAATATACTGTCCACCGTCAGATTGCGTCGTTAACTGAGAAACAAGTTCACGAGCTACGCAGTCGCATGGAGATTAGCGTCAGGGGCCTTAATGTCGAGAGACCGATATTGGAATTTTCTCATTGCGGCTTTTGTGAACAGCTTTCAGAGAATCTGAAAACGTGTGGGTATGTGACGCCGACGCCAGTTCAAATGCAGGTGATTCCAGTCTCACTGACCGGGCGTGATCTGTTAGCGTGTGCTCAGACTGGGTCGGGAAAGACTGCCGCCTTTCTGGTACCCATGATAACCAGAATTCATTACAAGATCGGTATGTAGCTTGTGACGTATATTACTGTATTTACTCGATTAAACGCTGCCTTCGAATAAACGCCACGGCACAAATAATTTAATAAACGCCACAGCATTTAATCGAATAAATACAGTAAACAGTTATTGTCAAGTTGAAGGTGAGTGTTATCAGTCAATCTGAAGACGAAACCAATAACACTTACCTCAATGGGTAATCAGATTATCTGCCCATGTGTTCTGTTAATCCTTTGAGTAGCAATGTACCCAAATGCATAGAAAATGTTACTCATCAAGGGGTATTGTGAATAGGAGCAAAATCTGAAAACACTCACATCAAGGCCGGATAATTTTTGAGGGGAGGTGTGCACCTCCCCTGAGATCGTTTTGTACCTCCCCTTGGGAAAGTTTCAATGATAGGTCAAAGCGAAAATTTGACACTTTTTGGTTGCTTAGGACTTGGGGTCTGCAACGTTTTTTTCTGTAAAATTAAAACAGTGATAGTATCTTTGTGTCAACTACCCTTTTAATGCAATGTTTTGAAAGAAACTTTGTAGTAATTGTAATGAAGGGCAAAATTCGATGAGTTGTACAGTCATAATTCATTAATACACTGATACATATATACACACTGCATGCATATGTGAGGTCGTTGACGTTGGCCCATTCTAACTTTCCATGGTGGTTGCGAGGCCTAAAAAAAATACCTGTGGTTCCGGTTTCATGTCGCGAAAAAATTAGGGTCGGTAGGTCAGAAATAAAATTTTTTTTTTAATATTTTTTCATGGTTTTTTCAATAATTAATGTGACCAGAGACGCCATTTTGCCAGCAGCCCGCAACCACTTGGAGAAAATAGGGTTGCATGGTCAATCGTGTTGAAAAAATAACAAGATCCGCAGAAAAATAGGGTCGGTCAGGAACCCGAACCACAGGGTTTTTTTGGCCTGAGCTAGACTGCTGCATCTCCCCTAAATTCCCCCCCTCCCCCACTAGTTCCACCAAAATCCGGCCTTGACTCACATTTATAGTACTTGTGTAATTGTTTAGCTTCAAGACAGACGTACAGTCACAGTGCATCATCGGGACCACTTGGCTTAGTCCTCGCTCCTACCAGAGAGCTCTGCATGCAGATTGAAAGCCAAGCAAAAGAACTGATGTCGGGACTTCCTAACATGAGAACCGCATTGATTGTCGGCGGAATGCCGATGCCCAATCAGATCTACAGGTTACGGCAAGGTGTACAGGTCGTCTTCGCCACGCCCGGCAGATTGGCAGAAATTTTAACCAAGGCTGATTTGGATTTCTCCGAGATTCAAATGTTGATTATTGACGAAGTTGACGTTCTCATGCAGATGGGGTTTGAAAACCAGGTTGGGTTATCGAGTTATCATAATTCTAAAACTCTTCAAAAAACTTGTTTGACTTAACGGAACTATTCCCTAATGAACTTAATTTTGATCTAGACAAGTCTATAGACAAACATTTCATCACAGCTTGAAAGAGCATCACAAAATTAGTAATATTCCTTAGTTTCGTTGCGATATACGGATAATATAGCCCTGCGAAATTTGCCGTTTTTCAGTCATTTTGTATTTCGCACGGGAAATTTATACCTTTTTTCAGAAAGCGGTATCAATTTCCCGTGAATAATACAAAATGACTGAAAAACGGCAAACTTCGCAGGACTATATTATCCGCATTTTACAACATTTTGCAACGAAACTTCGAAATATTACTAATTTTGTGATCCTCTTCCAAGCTGTGGTGAAATGTTTGTCTAGACTTGTCTAGATCAAAATTTTGTTCATTAGTGAATAGGTCCACCAGAGACCGCTTGACATAGTTGACATTCTCAGCTGTACTATATGTGAGAAACATGGCTTTTATATCATAGATGGATTCTCACCCCACCTAGAGAAATAAATGCATCCCCCCAGAAATTTAAATGCTAAGGTTTTTGAACAGATTTTTCGTGTTTCCCATAGATATTCCCAACTTAACTACTGCATAATGGGCGATTCCGGCTGTAGACTAAATTTTGATCAAGGCAAGAAGAACGGAAATCCAACACCACAGCTAGAAAGAGCGTCTTAGGATGAGTAAAACTGCAAAGATTGGGTGCCAAATGTTGTAAAATGAAGAAAATCTAGCCCTGTGAAGTTTGCAAATTTTTGTATATGGGCTAGTATTCCAAAGGTCGTAGGTTCGATTCCCACCGTGGCCGGGCATATTTTTCAAGCTCGCCCGGTGTGGATATACACTCAGAGTAACATCATTTTTCCCGCGCGTAATGCAAATATATAAAAAAAAAACTTGCAAACTTCACAGGGCTACATTTTCTTCATTTTACAACAATTCGCAACCAAACTTTGCAATTTTACTCATTTTAAGATGCTCTTTCCAGCTGGCTATGGTAATGGATTTCGTTCTTATTTTAACCCTTTATAGGTTCAATCAATCCTGAAAAACGTTTCCACCACAAGACAAACACTTTTGTTCTCCGCAACCATTCCACCGTCTGTAGAAAGAATTTCTTCAACTCTCTTGACCGTGAATCCTGTCTGGATCTCAGTAGGGGCAGCCAGCGCCCCGAATATGGACGTGAAACAAGTGATTCTGGGTCGAAGACAAGTCGAAAAAGAAAAGACTTTTCGCTTTGCTTAAAGATTCAAAATACTTCACTCCGCCAATTTTGGTGTTTGTCGACTCGCGGCTTGGCGCCGATATGTTATCGGAAGCAATAGAAGAGGTATAGGTTTCAAGCTTGAACTGTCTGGGCTTGTGTGTAGGTAGACTGACTTTATTGACGTTCTCAAGACTCATTAGTGAGCGGATGTCCCAACAGCTAGCTATTGCCCAGCTATAGCCGAAATTTTGATCTAGACAGGGCTATATTTTCCTCATTTTACATCATTTAGCAACCAATCTTTGCAGTTTTCTCATTCTAAGACGCTCTTTCTAGCTGTGGTGTTGGATTTCGTTCTTTCCTTGATCAAAATTTAATCTATAGTTCGGATCACCCGTTGATAGGGGATCTGAGGTACCTACGATTTAGCGCCCTTATCTGAGAAGAAACTCGGTAATTTATGAATATACAAAATCATGCTGATTTACATAAACTTTAAGTTCATTTCTCACCAAATATCATTCATTTATAATTGTCGAAGAATACGAATGTTCTCGTCAAGACGTTTGTATTCAACAAGTATAAAACTTTTTTGCGTTGAGATGCAGTTATAGGCCGTACCCAGTCTTTATTGCGACATTTTGGTTCAATTTTCACATTTAAAACAGCAATAACTCAAAGACTATTTGAAAAATCAAAAAACTGTTTAAAAGTCTTATATGCGGTTTTTTGTACGTTTTCCGATGATGCTAGTCATTTTTATTGTAATTAAATTCAGAATTTCCCTTTTTTTGCTGTAATACAATTTAATAGAGGATAATCATTGATCACCCATTCTCTCGGGATTGGGCAACTTTTTTGTTTGGGAACTTTTTTTGGTAGTGACGTACCTATTTGCCTTTCAAATAAACCTCAAACCAAGTATTTCCAACATGGGTGCCACGAAGCGAAATAATTTTGGCTAACAGCCCACGGCCTATTATATCAACACGAGTGGAAATTGGGAAAACGCGAAAGCTGTTTTATTAACTTTCAAAAACTAAAAAATCGCGTCGCGTTGTCGAATCGCGTCCGGTGTGTCTGGACCTAAAGAGTGGAGGTTCAATCGGAGCTTCCTTTGAGTGTCAGTGTTGTTTTTGGATTATTATTATTATTATTATTAAAAATTCACACCAAATATCATATTCACCTGAGTACA